TCCTTCAACCCCGACCCTCCATCACAAGGCAGTAATCCAAGTCCAAGCACTGGATGCTGATGCTGATGATGATGAACAGAAGAATTATCTGCCTCCATGTGTCTCTGACCCCAAATATCAAGCTGTGCTGGGGAAGGCGACGAGGATGAAGACAAGGAAGAGGAAGCCGACGAGACTATCCCTAAACCGCGGAGCAATGATGCGTTCGTAGCAGAAGATCCCATTTGGGCGGCTTTCTGAAGCAATGCGGTGGCTGACATTGACGGTGGTTGTGGAGCATAGTGTCTCTCCTGCCCGAATATCGACGAGCCATGACTCGTGGACAGACAGAGTGAAATTGGCTCGGTTGGTGGTGGAGCGAGTTCAACTGTGGTGTGAGTGTGATCAGGGTGTGATGCCATTGCTCGAATCAAGTCGGTGAACGAGTGAGTCTCCTGCTGAGGCTGAGGCGGAGGGGTTGTTTCGGATGCAGTTGTCGAGGAGGCGAATAGACTGGCGAAGACGGTGCTAGTAGTGCTGCCATTGCTGCTCGAGATGGTGCTGCTGCTACTGCAGCTTGCATTTACGGTTGCGACCGGAGCTAATGGTTCTTCAATGATTGGCGCCGGATCTTGAGTTTCTATCAACTCTGCATTTCCAAAAACCACATGGTCCTTAGTTTTGTTTTGGCGGAAAGATCCCAATTTGAAGGGTTTCTTCCTTGTTTTGTTTTGGCGGAAACAGACAAAAGAACTACTACACTCCAAAGATCTCTACTTGAAAGTGAAAGGAGAGGAAGACAAAAACAAAACAGACTGAAAGATTTGGTCCTTTATAATTAAGGACAAAAAACGCAACCGACAAAAACGAAACGGGAAATTGAAAAAGTTTCTGAATTTGGAGGGTTAGTGTTTACCTGGACTGTGAATCGGCGACACTGAAGATGAAGGAGCTGATGACTGCGATGGAGGAGGAGCTGGAGGCGCCGGCGGCGGAGCTGAATCAACAATAGCTGTCGGGTCGGGTCCAGTGCTCCGATTCGAAGGCGGAGGTGGCGTTGGGTGACGGGGATGAGCTCTGCCACTTTCCTCTGCCAAAGCGTCGCAGAATGCTCTGTGGGTAATAAAGCTATCCCTCCTTCAAATCCAAAACAGCAATTTCAGTGACAAAATGGGGGAAACAGAGAGAGTAAATCGTCGAAAACGCGTAAGAAGTGTAATCAAATCCGTCATATATGGGGAACCTGGAAAACAGAGTCCCGCAATCGCATTTGTACTCCCGGGTACCGCAAATTTTAGAGTGAGCCTTCCAATCGGACTGGACGGCGTATTTCTTAGAACACTTATCGCACTTCCACTTCTTCTCCCCGTGCTTCCTGCAGAAATGCTTCTTAATCCCGGTGAGATCGCCCAGCGCCCGCGACGGATCGTGGTGGACGCAGCTCACTTCGGGACAAACGTAGACCCTCTTCTTCACGTCTTTCCCCGATCTCTGCCTGAGCTTCCACGGCAGATTATGGCCTCGCCGGTGAAGCTGCAAGTTCTGGTCCCTCTGAAACCCTTTGTTGCATATTTCGCACACGAATCGGTTCGTCGCCATTAGAGTCTTCGGGGACAGAGCAATCACTTCAGCAGCTGGATCTGCAGAGAAAGGAAGAGAAAACAAAACAAAAAAACCCAAAATCCGATTACTTACAGAAGATTCTCATTCATCCACCCTGAAATTCTTGAAATCGATTTTGATCTAACTGGAGACCTGGCATCCCGGGGAGGTTCCGCTTCTTCTTGGGGGTGGCTGTGGTGGACTGCTGCGGTTGAGAAGGGTTGTTTCCGCCGGAGGAAGAGCCGCTGACTTCCCCTGAAGCGGTGGACGAGTTATCCAAATCGGCCGGCATGGCGATAAGTATATAGATTGAAGAGGCGAGTGGGGGAAATTGGGAAAAGGGGAAAAGATGGAAGCTTTACTAATAAAATAAAGAAAAGGGATTGTGTGTTGGGAGCAAAGATAGAACAGGGGTTGGGGGAAGGGGTGAAAATGGAAAGGGAAGGAGAAATCTCTGATGAGAGCAACTTCGTGGGAACAAAATTATTTCAGGGAATTCTCAAAAGGAACTTTCTGGCTGATGGGTTTTGGCTTCTTCCCCAAATTTTCTTCCTCCTTGGACTTGCTTGCCCACTTCTTTCTAGGGTTTCGTGTTCTTTGGCTTTGCTATCTCTCGCTCTCTAGCGCTCTCTGTTTCCTCTCTCTCAGCTACCAGTCAATGAATCTGCTTCTCCGATATTATTCTTTTCTAATAAGTTTCCATTTTCCCATTTATCTTTCATTTTCCACCTCCTTTTTATTTCAACCCACCTACCGTATGCCCGCACATTAACCAAAGAAAGCTCAATGATTAGACCCAGTCTCAGCGCCAACTAGGAAAACAGAGACTAGAGAGGAGTGACTGAGTTCACTGTGCTCAATCAAGTGAACGAATCCCAAACTCCGATCACCGGCGCAGGGAAACCGGGGAACTTATGAAAACAGAGGTTCAGGTAAAATTAAAAATATCAAATGATGATTCAACAAATAAGAAACAGAGTTCACCTTGGCCATTGAGATTTGAGAGTCATTGCGTAGTGTACTAGTGTTAATGAAGGTGAATTGGTGGTGTTAAGTATGTTTTCCTTAAAACTGCTGGCTTGTAGTCGACGCCTCTCACTCACCGGACTGCTATCGTAATTGGTTTGGCGGTTCTACTAGTACGATCGTTGATTCGGTTCGATTCTTATAACAATGAGCAATACCATCAAGTGCTTGTAGAGGTGGCAATTAAGATCAAAATCCATGAATCCAATCCAATCCATCCACCAAATTATCTACCTAATCCAATCCATTTAAATCCAATCCATTTGATCCAAATCCAATTGGATCGGTGGATTCATGAATCCAAATGGCAAATTACAATTTGGTACCTATATTTTTTTATATTTGACATTTTGGTAGCTAAAATTTATATTTTATACGAAAATTATCATTAGAAAATTACATTTTGGTCCATAGATTTTTTTATTATGAAATTTTAGTACCTAAACTTTTCAAAATTTACATTTTGATCCAAACCTTGAATGTCATTTGGATTCATAGATCAATCCACTAATCCATTTAGGGGTCGTTTGGAGAACAAGATTCAGGACATGGATTCACTGAATCCGTAGATTTTGTAGAAAGTTATTTTTTTGTTGCTTTTTGCATCGTAGATTCTAGCTTTAGAGATTTTAAATATCTAAAATATGTGGATATCAAATCTCTCATAATCATAGAGATTCTATACCTTGATTCGTGAGATTTTTTCTCTCCTAATTTTTCTTTCTTTTATTTTTTTATCACATGAAATATATTTATTAACAAAGTTTTTTATATTTCTCGAACCACTCTAATTTTTTTATTAAGGATAAAATTGTTATTTAATATAAAATTAAATTTTTTATTCTACTTGAATGTTAACAATCACAGTTACCAAACAATAAACATTTTAAAATCTGTTTTCAACAATCCGAAGAATTAGAATCTTTAGATTGTTGACAATCTGTAGATTTAAACGACCACTTAATCCAATCCATGAATCCACCAATTCATTTGATCCAATTCATGAATTCACCAATTCATTTGATCCATGGATCCACCAACCCAAGAATCCAATCCATTTGCCACCTCCTAAGTAATGGTATAATTTAGGAGCTTAAGGGGTCGTTTGCTTGTTGGATTTGGGTCATGGATTTGGTACTCAAATCCCAAACTTGATGGATTTAACATAAGTCTATTGTTTGTTGAAGAGTGCTAAATCCGTGGGGTCCACGGATTTGGTCTTTATTTTGGAACCAAATCCGTGGACCCCACGGACTTGTAAATCACACATATTGATTTGGGATTAGCAAATCCTTGATGGTTAGTTATTTATTTAACAAATCCATCATCAAATCTTTCATGCAAACAATAGACTCTTCAAATCCATAATCCAATAAATCCAACATAAGGGGTCGTTTGCTTCAAGGATTGTAAAATGAGGGTTTTCACTTAAACGTGGGATTTAAAAACTTAAGGTTTTATTTGGGATTTGGGGCATTTTGGATTTGGAAAAATCCTTTGTTTGTTTCTTCATTTTGATCATGGATTTAATAATTTGGGATTTAGAAATAAAGAATTGCATTTACCTTATTGCCTTTTTTAACCCATTAAAGGAAGGGATTGCCATGCGTTTCCCCCTTCTTTCCTTGTTGAGATCCACCTACTTTTAAGCATAGAACAAAAACTCCTAGTTAGAAGATACTAGAAACAACTAGCACGAACAAAAAAACATAGCCAAGGCATTTATTTATCCATTCAATGAACAGCAAAAAACAGATCAAAAAAGTTTTTCCAACTTTGGCGATCCAACTAGCGAAAGCAAATGCCATTACCACATCAGCGCTATGCCCTCTCAAAGTCAATGCAACCTTCCAATTCTCCACGTCTGGGGCCTCCCCACTACCAAACTCTGTGGTTCCAGAACCAGGCTTCTTTTCATGAACTAAGATCACCTGATCGTCGGAGGTTGACGCCGTCGGAGCTTGGGGGTCGGCTGCAATTTTCCAGGAAGGGAAGCTTCGACAGGTTTCCCGGTTTGGCGAGAAGGATTAGGAAGCGGCAGATATGGTGGATGTGAAGAGGGCAATTTTGGTTTAATAAAAAAGAATGAGGATAGGAGTGTCATTTGACCTCTTGGTTTTTCAGCCCATCACCAATTCCCTAATAATCATGTGGGATTTGTAAAGCTGTGGGCCCCACGGATTTGGAGTGAAAAAAAAAACCTAAATCTGTGGGGCCCACGGATTTGTTTTAACATTTTTGGACCAAGCAAACAAAGGATTGTACTTAAATCCTTAATAGTTGGTTTTTTGGTACCAAATCTATGATGCAAATCCTTGAAGCAAACGACCCCTAAATCTCAAGGTTTTTATTGGCCAAAACCCTTATTTTTCAAATCCAACAAGCAAACGACCCCTAAGTACTTCCCTAACCCTACCCTTCGACTTCAGTTTTATACTTTCGTTCCTCCTCCGTTCCGCCTTTCCTCAGCCAGATAGACGACCAGCAAACTGAGAAGAGTGGCTTCATCGACAGACGAAAGAGAGCGAGACGCCACCACTCAGATAGAGGAGCCACACCCGTCGGGTTGTCGAAGCCCACCGGCCACCGCCGTTTCGTCGGGCATCGCGGTTTCTGGCGGCTCGACGAGAACAGGCCAGCGGCGAATCTTTCCTCGCTCGCTCATCTTCAAACTGCTAAACTCTACGATTAAAAAAAAAAAAAAAAGAGTCGAAAACCTTTCCGCCCCAAAATAAAAACCGGGAACTGGGCTTTCGGGGTTTAGGGTTTATCGAGTGCTGAAGCCTGAAATCCACTTGATAACCACCAACTACAGTTTCGCAAACCACCGCGGGATCGACTTCGTACTGAAACGGAAACCGACTGAGTTGAAGAACCATCGTGAGAGTTAGATGGACCTCGACGACTTCGACGACGTGGACGCGCCGAAGCAGGCTCCCGCGCGAGCTGCCAAGTTCGTGCCGAAATCCTCCAGGTTCAAACCGCAACCCAAGGGGAAAACGGCGGCGCAGTCTTCATCGAAGCCGGAGGACTCTGTCGCCAAAACTGAGCCCCAAGAACCGCTACCATCGGCGCTACCATCGGCTCCGGCAAGTAAAGAAGAGGATGAAGACATTAAACCTAAATTGGATGCGGCGGCCAAGGCGGAAGCGGAGGCATGGCTGGAGATGGAAGTTGATGCTGCAAAGCGAGAGGCGGAAGACGGGAATGATCACATGGATGTTGATGGAGGGGAGGAAGGAAAAGAAGATGATGATGTGATTGTTCGTGAGATCGACGTATTTGTGACTCCCTCAGTTGACACTGACACACAGGTGAGGAACCTTTTCTGTGAGATGGCTCTTTGTAACAAATATCATACATACATGAATGCTTCTTAATATACTATTATCAATCAATTTGGCTTCAGTTGTATGTTCTACAATATCCTTTGAGGCCACGGTGGAGGCCGTATGAATTGGATGATCGTTGTAGAGAGGTGATTTCCCCTCTCCTTGTACATTCCATTTGGATTCTTACTGTTTGGATTTGTGATGGAGGCTTCTGACCCTGGTCACATTTGCATCTGTTGTTAGGTTAGAGTGAAACCTTCCACATCAGAAGTCGAGGTTGATTTATCCATTGATGATTCTATGAATTGGGATGCCGATTATGCAAGAGCATTAGAGATGACTAAGCGGGTTAGTTTCTGTGTACTCATTGCATAGCATGCCCCACTGCATTTGCAATTTTTTCTTCCAATATGACTCATAAAAAGATCAGTTCATTGGTCGTTGAGTTGTTTTCTGTCATTCTTCTAACCTGCTGTATGGTTTGATCTTGCTTCTTAGACTTTGTCATCTGTGTGGGCACCTCCTACTGCACGTGCTGGCTATGCTGTTGGGGTTCTTATTGGTAACAAGGTGCGCGTTCATCTGCTGCTTTTGCTTTTACTGATAGTGGCGTTTTAATTTTAGCAATGCATCCGATTGTATCTTCGACTCTTCTCCATATGAAGTTGTATAATTGTACTTATCCAATGCACAAAATTCTACTTCTGATGATGGTTTATATATTCGGATAAACATGCTTCCTTTTCTCAGTTCATAAGCTTATTTGAAGTTGGTTTCACCTGGATCCTCATTGTTCTAATGTCATTGATTGTTTCCTAGCTACACGACTTGACATCTGCAAATTTCTTTCTTCTGAAGTTAAGGAACTTGTAGCCTTTTCGGTGTCTAATAACAAGTAAACCGTGGGAAGATAGTGTTGATAATTGGAGTTGTAGAGAAATGAGGCTGCTTGATTCATTCTTAATTTTCTGAGTCTTTGTATTTTCTTCATCATCCAGCTACATCTGAATCCTGTTAAGGCAGTGGTGCAGCTTCGGCCTTCTCTGCAGCACGTTGAGTCCAAAGACGCTGGTATTGCTATTAAAAAAGAAGAATCCAGTCAGGCAAAACGTGCTGGTCCATCAAAAAAGCAGGTTTGACTGAAATCTGAGTTGGGCTACCAAAAATAGATTTATTTATTTGATTATACTAGTGCCTGAACTGTTATTTGACCTCTTACAAATACTACCTTGTTGAAGTGAACTTTTTGATGCATAATGGTAATAGTTTGATGTTTTTTCATAGTATGTAGACCTATAATCATAAGTCATGCATATAAAGGGCATCTGTAAATTGTGTATTGAGAGCTGATTAGCTGTTATTTTTGCTTATGCGCCTTATCTCAGTACCAACTTTTGTTTTCACTTGCTTGCAGAACACACAGACAGCGACTGTAAATGGGCAAGTTTCAGATGCTGGAGAGGTAACTTGTTCACTTTGATTTTGATAGCCATGTTAACTCTTTCCGCTTGCCTTCCTTTTAGCATAATTTAAGTGTGTATTTTTATTTAGATAACAAGTTGCTAAATCATACTCTGCAATTTCATTAATTATTTGTCTCATTCCAGACCTGGGTTCCACTTAAGTATCATGACTCCAAGAGTGACATGTCTTCCACATATATGGAGAAAATGGTGACACAAGAGCATTCTCCCATAGATTTCACAATGAGTTCGTATGTTCCATCTATTATAGCTCTGTGATTCAACTAACCTTTTGTAAACTGCAGTTTGATCTTTGTCATTTAAACTTTGAAGTTCGTTGCTTCATGGTTGAAGGTATGACTATATGAGTTCAATGTGTCCTGGAGCATCCAACAGCGGTGATAAGCCTAAAGGTCCTTCCAGAAGGTGCCTTGACCTCCATTTCTTTGATTTGTCTCAGTCAATTCATGCTTGCACAAGAACAATAGGTCTAGAAGAGCACAACATACTGAATTGTGTACTTCACTTCTTTCAAAATTCAGATGAGTTCAGCATTTGGTAGTTGTGATTAGACTATTCCGGTCGCATGTATACTGAATGTACTGATATAATAGAACAATGCATGTGATCATTCTGTCAAACTTGTCTGTATTGTCAATCCTAGTATCAGTCTTTCTCTATGTGCTTGTGTTTAGAAACAAAGTTACCTATCCTGAGTTTTTGCTTCAGATTTTTGCTTTCATTGCCGCTTGAAGAGCGCATACAGAAATTGCTCATGGAGGTTTGTTTTGTTACTTTTTTGCCCAACTTGTTCAAACCCAGGGTGTGGGGATGTCATCATTCCGACCCTATTTGACCACTGGTCAACTCCTTGGGGGGTTTTTAAGTGCTTCTATTTTTTTTAAATATAGAGCTTTGATTTACAGGGACCCGCACTTCAGAAGTTTGGCGCTATTAAGCACTTTGCTCCAGAAAGCACGAGTGAAGACCTCTTAACTATGCTAGAGGAGCATGGGCAACTAGTGCAGGGACTTTGGACTGCAAAAACATCTTTGTTGGTCCCTCCAACCGATAGACCTAAACATCTGGCTAGGGATTATGTTCTTCTTAAATTTAATGAAGGTCTAGAGATCAGCTCTTCCATAATAAGAGTCCATCCAAAGTTTCAAGAAGATATGAAACTCTTCCTGAATACATTTGGTGTTGAAAGACCCTCTTTGGGGGATTGGAAGTTCAAGGAGCAAACAGACTGGTCATTTATAAAACAGTTCCCTCGTGTTGTTGAAAAGTACAAGAAGTCTTATGAAAGTGCATGGAAAAACATTAGTGAAATACTTGGTAAAGTTGGCAGGGTGGGTTCTAGCAACAAGAGCACAGCAAGGGGAAATGTGCCAAGTAATCCTGCAAAAAAATTGGGTTCTGATAAAAGCACAACAACAAGAACAGCTACTTCAATGCCTACAAAGGGAAGCATAACTCGAGAAACTCAAGAAGTTCTGAAAAAGGTCTTACCAAAGATTTTTCAGACTCACAAGGTTTGCAGGTAATGTATTGATCACTTTTGACATTTTGAATCTAGTTGGATCTTTTTGGTGGTTCAACTTGAAGCTCTGTCCACTTTGACTCATTATCTTCTAGAACTGAACAGCTTTCTGGACATCTGAGGTTGAAACAAGGAAACTGGAATTCTCTCAAACCATTATGGCTTGGGGGGTTTTAACTTTTTAGTTTAGCCGTGTGTTCAAAGACTTGGTGTCAGTTGAATAGTTTATTCTCTTTCCCAAGCAATATGAAGTTTTCTTTTTTCTTTTGCAGTTACCAATTCATTTGCCAAAATTTGAGAGACCAGGCTGTCCAGACGGCTACTCTTCCAAAGGCTGACCCGAGAGTAGCCAAGGCCGCAGCATCTGCTGCTGATGCTCCCCAAGAAGAGTTTGAAGAAGTGATAAATGAATATGCCACCAAAATTCATGGTTTTTATGTCTTGAAGTCATCGCCTGACCACCCAGAATTTGACCCATTGAGGTTCAATCTTCTTTCCTTTCGGCAAATTGGATTTCATTTGTAGCTTTTGTAACGATGCTTATTATTCTTCTTAGCACTAACTCTGTCTTTGCAGGAGAGTTGTCATGGACCTTCTTATGGCTAGAGGGCCTAATGCAAAGCTTAAGAAGGCCGAAATCATGGAGGCAGCTCAGCTCGCACTCAAAAGAACAGTCCCTAACAATGAGTACCAGAAGGTCAGTAGTTGGATTCTGTTAAAACACACATATCTGGCTGATAGAAGTTAATTCTGTCTGAGAAAATCTTGTCTTTATTAGAAATTGGGTAGTACAGGGCATTGAAAGCGTGTAGAAGCTGGTAGAAGGCATCTTTGAACTTGAGCTAGGTTCTTGATACGTGTATTTGTGTCGAGGAGAGTTATTAGTATGGAGATGGATTCAGTTTCAATGCCATATATCTCTCTGAGTCCTGACATGCAATGTGGCTCGAATGTGCAGGTAGTTACAGAACTTTGTGAATCAAAAGGTTCTGCTTGGATGTTGAAAAGTGGAGACGGGAAGCCATCATGACGATCGTAGAATCTGGACTCCGTGAATTTTTCTAGTGCACCTAGGAGAGAACCCACTGAATCTAATTTACAATGTTGGACCTTGATGCTCTTTTCTCGGTACGTACATAGATATATTTGCTTCCAAAAGAAGTTAGAAACTTTGGGTACTTGGTTATGCACAATCTGAATCGATATGTCAATATTATGGTAACAATTGAAGATCACTGTAAGAGATGTTCTTGCTGGTTGTGTTTTTCTAGAGATCGATCTCGATGAATATACAGAGCTCCGTAAGGCACAACTGACCGGATGATGACTGGATGAAGAATGAAAGTAGTAATAAGCTCGTTGGTATTACAGTATAAAGATATGCATTAGGTGATTGAAAAGCTAGGCCAGCTTCTGGGATAGACTAGAATTAGAAACAGTTACTGGTTAGCTAGAAAACCTGAATCTATTTCTCTGTTTCTTAAATCTTTCCCTCGGAAAGATAAACTAACAGTAAACTAAACCAAGCTATACTTGTATATACATACAGATTAAGCTGAACAATCTAAGATGCAGTCAGCACATGGATGGATCTCAGTCTTGCATTCATCTTCTTCTCCTGCTAATTGCTACTGACACCGGACAGTATGGATCATGACCCGCCTCTGGTGCTATCTTAAGGAACTCCGAAATCAAGGTCTTACTAGGCTCAAACAAACATGTACCAATACATTAACTCCCATTTAAGCCATAGCTAGATCATGTACAGGTTGGGTGGTCGTGGTAGTAAATAGTAATAGTAACACTGGAGTAGTTACCTATTCGTGGCAGCCGATTGACCCATTTGGGGATCGGCCTCCCGGTGAGCTTGTGGCAAGCACTCTTGCTAAAATGATTGCAGTTGTTCAGAATCAAGCCATAGGTATCCCCATAGAAGCTTCCTGCAGCTACTTGCCTCTCCATCAACTCCCTCACCTGCTTAGGTTCCAAGGTCGTCGTCCCTACGAATATCGACCTCATGAACTTGTACCCGGGATGTTGCCTTGGCTCGACTTCGAACACCCCACTTGTTGGCTTGTCTGTCTTCCCATCGGCATACTCTACCCCGTGCACTGCACATCAACACGTACATTAGCATTTACTACAATCACAAGAACACAATGTAGAGTTATCTTCAACAGGAAATTTTTCAAGGCTTTTATTTTAGTTTCTGTACCTTCAACGCCAGAGTGAAAGACACCTAGACCAGCCCAGTAGTTCGTCGGTGCCAAGTCATACACATTCGGATACACTGGTGCTGCTTCCCTGGCAGCTTGATCATTGCTCCTGTCTCTCCTATGTTTACTGGAAACCACCAAATTCACTTCTCAGTTCAGTGATTGCTGCCTTCTTCGACACGTTATCAAGATTCATTGTCACGTTTGGGTTAGGAAATTCATCAGCTTCTTTCTGCTTCAGTGCCTCCTCATTAGCTATTGTTGTGGTCACCTGATCTTCTTTTGCAGTAGCCTTCTGGTTCAGATCTTCCATTAATGCTTGTTTCTTATCCGGTGGTGAAGCTATGATTTAGAAAGAACAGAGATTTAAGTAAGAAATTACAATAGGTTCTAACATTGTAGCAAGATCTTGGATGAAGAAATTACAGCCGGTTCTAAGATTGTAGCTGAATCTTTGGTGAAGAGGGCTTTATCAAGCCACTTTTCCTTGTTCTCTCTCCACATACGATTACAACTTCAAACAAAATTCAACACAAATACTAAGGATGAGCTAATCACTAAAAAGTAGAAGAAAAAAAAAGAATATTTGTCTGATCACAGCTCTCATAAATCATAACCCACTTATTAAGAAAAGCTTCTAAACAATAATAATGCATTTTTACAAATCTACACATTTCAATAACTAGGTTTGCACATATTAGTAATCTGTTTGATCGTCAAAATTCATTATATTTTAGTAACACATTCTTCAACAATAATTTGTGGTTCTCCTGTATCTGTAAAATACTTCTCAAAATGACCTCCCCATCATCTTTCCAAATCTCTCCATAATTCTACATCCCCCCTCAAGATGACAATTTGAACCCGCCTCGTCGAGTATTACCTGACCTGATCCGCAATGGAGCGGGTATTATCCGATCCGCAGTATCGTGAGGCGGGAGATGGGTATCTATTTTCAACTTGTCCTGCTCTGTCCCGGGCCGTTGACCCATACTATCGTGATTTCTTATAGAATCTATTCGTATTTCTCCTATTTTGACTTTTTCAACTAGTTAGACTTGATCTTTCAATTAGTTTAGACTCAATTACCCATTCTATTATCACTATTTTCATTCATAAAGTGTTTTTCTCTTCGTTTTATCGTAAAAAGTAAAATTGTGCATGTCAAATAACATGTAAGAGTAGGTTGATCCGTATTGTACCCCCGCCCCGACCTGTAGTAGCATTGGGAGGGGCATGAGTATTGAGGTACCCGCTCCGCCTAGCCCACCCCATTGCATCACTACATGATCTATTCACAATTTCCCCTTTCTCTATTCATTTTTTCTATTATCCAAATGCTCTAATATTTTTTCCCTGGACTGAGTTTTGGGGTGAAGGTTAGGAGCAAGTTTCGAGACGTTTGGAGGTAGAAAAAGGAGCCAAAATGAGCAATCACGACCACTAGAGCCAAATCACGATCGTGACTTGCGTCTCCCTCAGATCGTAAATGTCGAGCTGATAGTCATGGTCAATCATCAACAAATCACGACCTTGCAATTCATGTTGGGGCTCCAAGGAAAAGTCATGGGTAGGCCATTGAAGAATCACGATCGTGACTTTTCAAGTAGTCATGATCGTGAATGTGGCATTGCTCGGGGATAAATAGGGCTTTGTGAATTTCAGGAATGGTAGCTTGACTTTCGGACAGAAAACACACACAGAGAGAGAAAGTACGATATTTCCAATAATAGCACCTTTTAAAAAAATTTACAAAAATAGCACCCAACCCACACAAATTTCAAAAATAGCACCTTTCTTTCAAACCCGCACTTTCAAGGCGCGTTTTATGTAGAAACCGCACAACGAGGGAGCGGTCCTCGATAGGGCATCCCAAAAATCGCATGCTGACGAGGCAGTCCTCATTCTCGACGCGACGGTCCCCAGCATCGTTGGATTAGACGACGATCCAACGACCAACAGCACGCCAGCGCAGCGATCCGCATCAGTGATCGAAGACCGCACGCTTGGGAAACTATTTGCGCCTCGGACTCCATGAACCGCTCCCTCCAAGTGCGGTTTTGATAAGGGTAAAATTATGAAACCGCCCCTGGAGGGTGCGGTCTGAAGACTATAAATACCCCCTCCCCTTCTTCATTTTTTCACACCACAACCCATTCTTCTCTCTCTCTAAAATTATCTCTCTATCCATCCCCCTCCCCTCCCAAAAGCCTAGGAAATAGTGGTATGTTGTTTGCGGCTAAGTCCGATCTGCCATCAGAAAACATTTCTTTGGATTTTCCTTCAAAACCCGACGAATCTCTGTCCGAATTTCGCGAAAAAATGGACGAGTGGTTCCAAGAAGAGGGAGTATATTATGATGAATTTCAAGCGGTACGTACTCATTTTACCAAAATTTTGTTGTTGTTATAACCTTTTTAATTAATCTATGTACTAACCTTGTTGTTATTCTCTCGTATGTTGGGGACGACGTGGATACATACAACCAACAGTATTATGTTGATCAAGGACCTAGTGATCCAACCGTGTTGTACGACCAATCCAACCATCGTTCAAGGGATGTTTGGAACGATCACGAGGTACATACAATTCTTCATTATTTGTGTTTCTTTTATTTTGTTAATGTACTTAGTGGAATGTAAAATAAATTTGATCATTTTTAATCGTGTTGGTTGTTTTCAATAATTTAATCAAATACATAGCGGCGTCACTTACTTAGACTCTTCATAAAGAGATGCATGCCTAAGGAAATGGGGGGTTTTTAAGCGATTATCATGATCCTCCCATTCCCTGGGAAAATCGGGTTTTAAGCGATCATCGAATCCGCCCTTTTTCTGTCAAAAAGGCTGCATTTCTAAGAAGATGTATACATTTTCTAAGAGTCTAACGAGTGTTGCAGTGTATTTGATTAAATTATTTAAAACAACTAATACAATTAAATTATTTAAAACAACCAATACGATTTATGTGTATGTGTACAAAATTAATTTTATTACTTTCAAATATTTGAATATGTATCTCTTTAAATTATTATTCATTTCAAATGTTATTTATTTTAATTAATTGAGTATGTTTGTTTTTTATGCATATATCTTGGAAAAAACCTTGAATTATTTTAATTTGTTTGTTAATAATATAATTATAATAAAATTATGGTCAAAGTTAAATAATTTATTTTAATTAGTTTAGTTATAAAAAAACTATTACTAGTATATCATAAATAACGTTAAAATTTTCTCTAGGAGGCATACCAAATACTCTGCTATAGAGGTACGACCAATGTGCTCCCATGGAACGATGTTATCTTGCCCTTTCTCAAAAAGGCACGGTTGGAGTCGATTAGACATTTTTTAGGCATAAAAATCGATCGTCAACTCATCACCGCATTGGTGGAGAGATGGCGAAAAGAGACACATTGCTTCAACTTTCCCGGAGGAGAGTGCACCATCACACTAAAGGACGTCGCCATCCTAACCCATCTGCCCAACCACGGCAAAGCGATGTGTGTGAGTGATCATTCGCCCGAGGATGTTGGGATATGACTGGTTGGCAGCATTTGATCTACAATGATTTGAGGGTGCGAGTGCCAGTCAAGGGGAGCGTAGATGCGACAGATCGCTTAGCACCATTGAGGAAAAACCAAGTATCAATTACTTGGTTGGCGAAGTGGCTGAAGGACAAGCACGATCCTACAAAAGGCGGGGTGCCCCCTAACCGAGGAAAGTCTAGAGGAGGTGAAGGAAAGATATGCTCGTGTCTATCTCATAGGCATGATCGGAGGAGTGTTCTTCTCCAAAAAAATCCAACAATTTAATTAGCTGTGGATGGCTTAGGATCCTCCTTGGTAATTGGGATGCGATGGGGGAGTTGAGCTGGGCATCCGCTTGCCTAGCTAATATCTACCACTATTTGTGTAATGCATTTCTCAAAGCTGTGAGGGAGGTTGGCGGGCAAATGTTCATCGTTCAATTTTGGGCTTGGGAGCATCTGCCATGGATTGCACCGATCAAACGTCCCAACATGAATTGGCCAATCGACCATCCCCTAAGAGGTGAAGCTTAGTGTTGTAGATAAACTTCTCATACCCAATCATGATTTTCATAAAACAATTTCGTTTGTTATTTAGTTATAACATTTCATTATTGCCTTACTAATAAGGTGGGTTGGAGCCACAACATGCGACAACCTTGTAGACCACAAGTTGGCGGAGTATCGGAGGAGGCTAGAGCGACTTTGGGAAGGCGAGGTAACTAGAATTCTTCGAAATGTTATAAATTTTTTTGACGAACTACATGTACCTTTCAATTTCGTTTAACTTAAGTTATTCATTTCTTTTTGTAGATCATTTACGATCCATACCTTTAGATATCGTTCACTGGCATTGCCAGCAATTCCCTGGTCATATCGGTCAATGGTGCACGAGAGTCCCTCTCATTTACCGTGGAGTGGCACCTGCCGGATAGATGCCTCCGTCAGTTTGGTCGGGACCAATGCATTCCTTTGGAGGTCCCCGAGATTCAAAGAGCGTTTCACCACCGAGATGGTTGGCAAGGTGAGCAAGATTGGCCCGTGAAGTTGAAGAAATTCATCGCCATGTGGGAGAACCAACAAGATTTTGAGATCGTCACTCCGAGAGCTGTGGGGGGAACGGGGTATCATGACCCATACATGGATAGATATCGGCAACAATCGGTTCAGTACGTGACTCCAGAGGGTGCGGCCGATGGTGCATTGGTAAGTAATTTCGTCTAATCAATTAAATTTATTGATTTTTCATGGACATATCATGAGTTTTATCTTGCTAACTTTTTTTTATGTAATTTAGGTTGATGGGCTCGAGCGTATCAAGGATAATAGCCATGGTCGAGATCAACCGGTCAAGGAAGAAGTGGGCTTGCTGAGGAGGATGACAAATAACCTGCTTGGGTGTATCAGAGCACAGGGTCGTGATCATTATAGATACCTGCCCATGCCCGCACCAGTGCCACATCCGATAGCAATTGATGTGGACAACCGCCCACCACCATACGAGAGAAGGAAAAACAAGAAGACTCGGGAAAGACCGAACGTGCCCGAGATTAGGACGATTGAGGGATGGAAAGTGTCGGGTCCTTTGGAAGTGACACACGGTGGCGGCTCAAGCTACCATCAAGATCCCCACCCCAGCTCCTCACAGAGTGGCGGCCCGAGCTACCATCAAGATCCCCACCCTGGCTCCTCCTATGATCCCCGGCCCAACTACCATTAAGATCCCCACCCCAACTCCTTCTACGATCACTTAAAATCTCATTTCCTTAGGCATGCATCTCTTTACAAAGAGTCTAACAAGTGTTGCATTGAATTTCCTATAAGCTATTGTTATTTGACAAAATTAAACAACCAGTGAAATAGAGAGCTTACCAATCCACCATAAATTAACAGCAAGCTTCCTTCGCTTGAAATGATGGTTCCAATTGCTCTTGAAGTGTCGTATGCACCACCTTTGGGACCACTTCCAGGCTGGATCCAAACCTAAGATGGCCGCTCTGATGCCGTCGTGTCGATCAGAGATGATTGTCAGGTTTTTTCTCCTGGTGACGTGGAGCTGAATTTGCCGGAAAAACCACCCATAGCTATCGGCATTCTCTCCCTCAACAATGACGAAGGCTAAAGGAAAGACTTGTTTGTTTGCATCCGCACCAATGACAATCAGAAGAGTGCCCTTGTACTTGCCGGTAAGGAATGTACCATCCACTTGGATCACAGGGACACAGAAGCAAAAACCATCAATAGATGGCTTGAATGCCCAAAAAAGACGTTTGAAATGGCGTTTGTCACCGGGTTGTGGCGGCTGTATCTCTTCATCTTGGTATCGAGGGGAGAAAACAGTGTCAGGGTTAGACACCTCCAATGCCAAAATCAACCTGGGCTTTCTGCTTTCCATGACACGCCTTCTTATAGTTAATAATATAACCATAACGACTTGTAACGTCAGCGATTATGACTTTCACCTTCAAGTCAGGACCTTGCTCAATTAGATGCTTGATAGTCGCAACCACCACCCTGGATTTCAACTGTCGATGGCCTTGGGATGTTATGGATGACACACATGTGTGTGTGTTCACCGCACGGGATATGACCCAATAGTCGTGTCTCTTGCTGTTGATGGCCCGAATGCTAGCATTGCATCTCTCTTGTTGATTACGACATCTGACTATGAGCTCTTCGTGTTGGAATGAGTTGTGTGCCATTCAAAATGCCTAGTCATTGCTTCAGTTTCAATGGCGTGTCGCACCTCCTTCTTCGAACCAAATTGTTGGCTCTTCATAAACCCAGTGAGTGGACCCCATACTGGGACCTCTAGCGGCTCCATGTCGGTGTCGACACACCAATTGTCATCTGGAATGTGATTGTAGTACGAGATAGGTACACGGTCACGAGACGCCTCACCATCAGCTGAGTCTGACTTTGGGCCTGAATCATCAGCACCTTCAAGAGGGTCGGAACTGTCTGCACTAACATTGCTCCCTTTTTCTTCATCGGAGGGGTCACTAACTGGTGCTGGCAAGGCATCTTCCATCTGATCCACTTCATGAAAGGTACCTTCATCAGCTCCGTAATGGTAGTTGTGAAAACTATCGCTGCGTGAATGGAAGTTGTAGTCGGGTTGGTTGGCATGGTCCCGTTGGACTTCTTCTTCATATGATGGGAAAGATTGATGATGACCTTCACCTTGCTCTTGGTAATGAAAGTAGGAACGAGGATCATGGTAACTTTGGTAGGGATGATCTCCATATAATTCACCTCCACCATGGATACCAGATGTTTGTCCTTCTCCAGAATGACCTCCAACGCCTTCGACCTCGTCGGTGTAAACGAACATCTCGGCTTTGGAAAGATTATTGAACTTCAAGAATTCGAGCATGACATTTACTTCATCCTGAGTGGTTATGAGATATTCCTCATGGCACAACGACCCACCTTCTCTGTTTGGATATCGGTACACCATACGATCAACTCTTCTCGTGCCATCCATGCAAGTAACACCAGTACACATTTGATGGAGGTCTTCAAGCATCGGTCTGGTAGCGACCTTTATTTTCTGAAAATTGTCACCGACGTAGGTGACCCCCTTTCTGGTCTCTTTCGTGTAACTATTCCACTGTAATCCAAGCGTGAACTTTTGGAATGCCATTTGCAATAAAACCGTAATTCAGTTAATATCATAAAAATCACAATAAAAAGTAATACAAAATAAACTTAAGAGTTAACGTTAATCGCAAAAACAATAAAAAAGTAGGGTGCTACAACAAAAAATTGAAGAAGAAGAAGAAGAAGAAGAAGAAAAGGTGTGAAGAGAAGAGGTTTTCCGGGGCTGCCTTTAATAGGCAAAATCATTACTGAAAACCGCAGGGGGAGGGAGCGGTTTTCATCTGCCATGCAGGCCCTCGTCTGTCAACCTGCATGGCCAACATGCTGGATGTCGGGAAAATGATGACGATACATAAACCGCAGGGGGGTGCGGTTTGTGTGTCGGGCAAGGGCAAAACCGCTGCTTGAGGTTGCGGTTTGTGTTGGAGAAACAGAATCGCAGCCCCAACATGCGGTTCTGCTAGGTCATCCTACGAACCGCATGGACAAGATGAGGTTATGTTAGGTCATCCTACGAACCGCATGGACAAGATGAGGTTATGTTAGGTCATCCTACGAACCGCATGGCCAATCTGCGGTTTTGGCCCATAAAAGCAAACCGCTCCCTCAGGATGCTAAACCGCACGACCGATGTGCGGTTTTGAAAGAAAGGTGCTATTTTTGTAATTTTTTTAAATGGTGTTATTTCTGGAAAAATCTCGGAAGTTCTTGGAGCTACTTTGGGACAATTTCTTCACCATAGGAGCTAGGGAATCAAGTTTAGAAGTGAAAATTGAAGATTGGACATAGAATATTATATTCACCAATGTAGTTAAAATCGCGCTTTAAAACTTAAAAACTTACGATTTTACGTTTCTAGGTCACTAAAATGCTTCTACACAAAGTCTCAGTTTTTATAACTTATGTAGTTAAAAACTCCGCTTTAAAACTTACGATTTTACGCTTCTAGATCACCAAAACGTTTCTACATAGAAACTCGCTTTTGACTACATTAATCTTCACCATGAAGTCTTTCATCTTCTCATCTATATTTCCTTCTTTCTATATGGAGTAGACTCTTTTCTCACTCGTGGTTTATATCTAAATCTAATCGATACATATTCATTAAGTTATATGTGTCCGGATAAAGTGTTGATAGTTTATGCTTTAACATAAGAGAAAGAAAATCTAGATAGATTGATATAGCAATATTGATTGGAAGTAGGGGATCGACTGCACAATAGTGAGTCGGTTCACTCTATATATGGTGTAAATCCAATAGAGAGAACTTGGTTCTACTTAGCTTGATAACATCTCTTAGTTAAAACAAAATCCCTCTAGAAGTTAAAGAGGATCTTGAATCTTGATTACATCATTTCCGATCACTCCTTGTGGTAGTCCTTGGCACAATAAGCAATGCTAGTCCTATAAGGAAATCAACAAAGTAAGCAATCTCAATAGCTGATGCATAATTTGATCACATATAGAATGAATTTTTTTTGTTAAATCATACAATTCTTTAAACTCGGTCGATATAAAAATAAATATTGTCATATATAGCACAATTAATTGATTTTTCTCTTAGAAGTTTGAAATTGAAATTATAAATGGTTTGTCAAAATTTAATAAGAAAATATTTTATAATTGTAAATTGTATATGACTTTGGATTAGCCAAGGTGTGTGCTTTTAATTTTAGTGTTGGGATTGTTTGGATGAGGAATTGTAACATATTAATTTAATCTAATTGTTCCACTCTCGGTTTGAAATAATATGGTCAAATTAAACCATTTTTGCCGACAAAAAATTTGGATAAATCAATTTACCTGAAAAATTTCCGATTAATATGTTTTGAGTAATTTTAATTGTTTGAAATGAGACAGATAATTCAAATTGACCCATTTTAATCAACACATTTCGTAAAATAAAACTATGAGCCAAATTGTTTCTTTTTGGGTTATAGGAATAATATGTCCCTCTATTATTTTTTACATCAAACATGCCCCTGTATTTAAAAAAAAATAACAAACATGCCTTTCTGTTAAAATTTCCATTGAAAAAAATCATCAATCATGGTTGAACCGAGATTTAGACGACCCGACATCGGCAAATGGGAGCGAAAATGTCAGTTTTGTCTTCCGTTTTATTTCTTTGGATCTCTTCAAAGTGAAATTATTTGAATTATTTGGCTATACAAAAGAACAAAAAAAAATTCTAAAGTGAAATTATTAGGGATATTTTAGACATTTGTGCCGCCCAAACCAAAGTTCGATCTTGGTTAACAGTTATTCGATGGCATGTTTGATCACTTTTACAAAGTACAGGGGCATTTTGATATAAAAAAATAATAGAATAACATATTTGATAAAACATTAATATAGAAACACATATTATACCTATAACCCTTTCTTTTTTCGAGTTCAATAATCCAAATAAAGGTGGAAATTTGGTTAGGTTCCAAGCTGTACCTACATATGGCTAAATAGTAAATTCTAAATACCCGATCTTTTGTCTCTGTCTTCCTCTTATGCACAACACACGTTCACGACCTAGCTAGAACAAAACTTCCCAATTTAGAGTTGCTCTTCGTCCGACTCGCAGTTTCTCAGCTTCGCATACATCGTCCGTGCTTTCTCCTTGTTGCAGAATAAACTGCGGGTCAAAGAACCTGCCTGGGGTTTGATTGATTTAAGCATTGAAGCTCGAAGAAAGCATCTCCGAAGTATGAGCGACTACGGCAGCGGAGGCAGGCTCGAACGTAACGGTGCGGATCATGAAAAGGACGACGAATTCAGTGGCGGTGGTGACCCTGAGAATCATAGCGATTCCAAATCCCAGGTCTTTGATTCTACCTTAGACTCCCAAGTTACATGTTGGCTTTTGATTTACGAGGAGGGGTCAAGTTGCTTGCTTTCCTTAGGCTTTAGGAAGTCTTACATTTGGGGGACCGTCAGCTCGTTCTGGTTTTAGGGTTTTAAATAATTGGATTAGTTTGCTTGAATTTGTAGTGTGTTTAACCAATTTGGTCATTAAATTGCTCGAATCAGTCAAGTTGCTGTATTCTCACCGATGTGACTTGTTGCTTGTAGCGTGACCATGAGAGAGATTCTGTGAGAAGTAGGGATAGAGATAGAGAAAGGGTGCGTGACAAAGGGAGGGATAGGGACAGGGACAGAGATCGTGGCAGGGACAGGGAGAGGGATAAGGATAAGGAAAGGGAGAAGGAGAGAGATATTGATCGACACCATAGAGGAGGAGGGCGTGACAGGAATCGTCATAGAGATGGCAATGACAGGAGAGAAAGAGGCAGAGATAGAGACGAGGATGATAATCACCGAAGCAGAGACTATGATCGGTATGGTTCTTCCACACTAATTGAGTTAGTTTTTTCATCTTTGCTGCCATAATGGCAGTCAGTTGATGTCTTCGGTGGTCTAAACGTTTTACAGGCGAAGAGAAAATGATAGAGAGCGTGAAGATAGGCCCAGGCTTCGTTCGAAGTCTCCTTCAAGGGGTAGATCAAGACACAGATCAAAATCTCGTTCTCGGTCTCGCTCCAGTTCAGGATCACGCTCTAAGAGGTACATACAAGTGATGATAACTAGTAATAATGTTCTTTTGGGTAAATTATATAGGATTGTTTCTCTGCTAACTCCCATTGAAACTTATTATAGCAAAAGGGTGAGCGGCTTTGATATGGCTCCTCCTACATCTGCGATGGCTGCTGCTGTTGCTGCTGTCAACGCTGCTACTACAGGTACCCGGACAACTATATCACTTAACTGCTATCCTTATTGGTTCTTTTAAGTATGATAAGTACTGGGTACCTTGCATTATTGAATTTTGTTAAGACACAAGTCTCAACTTCGGTTCTCAAATGGAAAAATTACAACTTGAAACTAGTGCTTACATAATATCGGTCCTATTGGTTTGTGTTCTATTTTATCTTGCATACTGCGAAATAATTCTGGAACTGAGAGAGCTTTTGGTTTTGTTGTGTTTTTGGTGTTTGTTTGTTGTTTCTGTGTCTTTGTCTTTGTTGTGAGAAGGAACTGTTGGGCTGGTTGCCCCACTGTGCTGACAATGGCCCATGAGCTGACACCCTATAGCTTATATGTACAAAGAGGAATCAGGGCATCAGTTTGATGGTTCTTGTTCGTCTCCCACCGGCAAACTATTGCATGTCTTGGTAGTTTTGTGAATATTTTCTCTGTAACATGAATCTTAAATCTACTTTCCCCGTCTTTTTCTTTACCTTTTCCCCAACAGGTTAGTCTGCATTTACAAAAAGGATTGTCATAAGGCAGCTTTGTAATTTAATTAATTATTATAGTTAAAATTCATGTACAAAATCTTCTAATTCGCAGCTCATTACCTTTGCAGGCCAAATTCCTGGGTCCGCTCCTTCCATCCCAGGAATGTTTCCAAACTTGTTTCCGACACCCAATGGACAGGTATAGCTTACTTTTTATTTTAAGATACTGATTATGTCTTTCTGTGGTTTGTTCTAATTTCATGTTGCGTATTTACACACTTTACCAGTTTGGTTCTCTCCCAGTAATGCCGATTCAAGCAATGACTCAGCAGGTCTGTTTGTTTAAGATGCTTAATTTAATTTCACTCTATATCATGCTTCGGCGTTGGTTAAATATTCCTAGTTCCCCCCTGTTCATCTATTGTCTTCCATGCTTCCAGGCTACTAGGCATGCTCGACGGGTCTATGTTGGAGGGCTTCCACCATCGGCTAATGAACAGGTAGCTATTCTCGTTCAGTTTCTTTCTAGTAGATCTACATACTAGTTCCACTCTGATATGCTCTATCATACTGCAGACTGTAGCTACCTATTTCAGTCAGGTCATGGCGGCCATTGGAGGAAATACTGCTGGCCCTGGTATGTTGTTTATTTTCGGTGAAAACATTGAATCTGCCCTTGCTTTTCCTGTCCCTGAACCTATTTGATTGTTTTACAAGGGGATGCTGTTGTAAATGTATATATAAACCACGAAAAGAAGTTTGCATTCGTGGAGATGAGATCTGTTGAGGAGGCCAGTAATGCCATGGCTCTAGATGGAATTATATTTGAGGTAAAAATCTACTTCTTTTGAATCTTTGTCTCTGAGTTGTAAAGCATGGTGTTGATATGGCCATCTACTGATGTGTTCAGATCTTTCTTGGAACTTAAAATAATTTCAGGGTGCACCTGTCAAGGTACGTCGGCCTAGTGATTATAACCCATCCCTGGCTGCAGCTCTTGGTCCTAGCCAACCCAGCGCTAACCTTAACCTTGCTGCGGTGGGATTAAATCCCGGCTCTTCAGGTGGGCTTGAAGGTCCAGATCGCGTATTTGTGGGTGGGCTTCCCTATTACTTCACAGAACCACAAATCAGGGAATTGTTGGAGTCTTTTGGGGCTCTTAGAGGTTTTGATCTAGTGAGAGACAGAGAAACAGGAAACTCAAAAGGCTATGCTTTTTGTGTGTATCAAGATGTTGCTGTTACTGATGTAGCCTGTGCTGCTTTGAATGGAATTAAAATGGGTGATAAGACTCTCACCGTTAGGCGTGCCAACCAAGGCAGTTCCCAACCTAGACCCGAACAAGAAAGTGTACTGCTACATGCCCAGCAGCAGATTGCTATACAGGTAATCATGCTCTGAATTTCTATTTTCGTTGCATATTTGTATACTTAGGTCTAGTTTTACTGATGTTGGCTGTGTTCTTGCAGAGGCTTATGTTACAACCTCCAGCGACTAAAGTTGTATGCCTAACTCAAGTAGTTACTGTGGATGAGCTCAGAGATGATGATGAGTATGAAGAGATAATGGAGGACATGAGAACAGAATCCAGTAAATTTGGTATAATCTCTTAACCCCATCATTCCCCTGAGTTAATGAAAATCTAAAAGAGCTTCTATCAATCATCTTGCTAAGGGATTTGTTTTCTTTTTCATCTTGTGGTTTGTATGTCTGTTTTCCAGCATCTTGTAGTCCTACGGTCTGCTATAGAGAATCAGCCCTAAGATACAGCGACAGAAGGCTGCTTAATCTCCTGTTAATATATATGCGACGTACTCTCGATATATTTGTGGTTTGGTTTGGCATATTTTCATGTTCTTATCGCAGGTACATTGGTGAATGTCGTCATCCCCCGCCCACAACTGGATGGTAGTGCTTCCCCTGGTGTTGGAAAGGTTAGTTGAAGACTGTTGCATTGTGTTATTGATTATCAATTTCTGTGGTTTGAGACTATCGCAGGCTGTATTTGATCCGACATGTTATTGTGTGGAATGCAGGTGTTCTTGGAGTATGCAGGTGTTGATGGTGCAACAAACGCCCGAGCAGGAATGAACGGGAGGAAATTCGGCGGCAATGAGGTGGTGGCTGTGTTTTATCCAGAGAACAAGTACTACGCAGGAGAGTATGACGGGTAATGTCGTGGGAATAGGAAAGTGCAAGTCTAATGAAGGTTTTCTGGATTGTGTATTTTGGTTATAGTTTCTTTGTTAGTAGTGCCTCAAGGAGGATGGTGATGTGATCCTTTTAGCTTCTGAATGATACTGTTATTATATGTAACTCGAGGATTACTGATACGCTCTGCCTAGGCTCTCCCATCAAACTCCCAACATTGTAATGTTTACTTTCGCCCCCTAGAATGAATGTCAAAACCCTGTAACTGCAGCAATGAAGTTGCAAGTCTGCTGCAGATGTTTGTTTCTCGTCTTTTCCCACACTTGCAACATTTGCGATTTGCGCTGTACCATTCGATCACCTCTTCCACAAATTAGGAGTAGGTCAGGGCCCGTTAAGGATACTGTTAGAAGGATGTTATACCGAAGGTCATCCAACGGTTGAGATGAAAGGTACACTTCATTAATGGTCTACATCCCTTTAAAGTATAAATTAGTGGAATGAGGGGCCTTGCTGGGGCTTGAGTTCAAGTCCTTAAATCCCATTCTTTAAGAAGGATCTTAAAGTGTTTCTATTGGCTGGATGAGTGTTAGGTAGTTAATAAGGAGTTATATGTTAATAAGGGAGTTTTAGGAAACTCTAAATAATTTAAACTTAATAATAATCTAATTAAAACCATTAACATAATTAATCATGTCACCTCCTCATTTAACCTAATTCAATCAAGCCTTCTCTCTCTTCAACCATTCGACGCCTCAACTTCCCCCGCTGCAGGTCGTCGTTCCAGTCGCCAACTCATTCGTTGCGGGTTGTTGATCCGGTCTCCGTCATGCTGCAGTTCGTCAGTTGGTAGTCCCCCGCGTCGGGTCGTCGGTACGGTCTCTGTCCCGCTACGGGTTGTCGGTTGGTCGTCCATTCACATTGGGTCATCGGTCAGGTCTCAGTCCCTTCTACTGGTTGGAGTTCTTCGCCGATCGGTGTTTCACCAATCTCCACCTCCTTACGGCTACTCGTTGCTTTGTTGGACAAGGTAAGTTTATAACCCTGTTTTGTGTTTGTAATTATTAACTATAAAGTCTTTATTTTTAATTTTATTGGTGATACTAGTAACCTTGCAAAATGTCATTATGTATTTGTTTATTCCGTTGTCAAATTTTTTATTGCATTATTATTTTTACTTGTGTAACGTTATTTGTAAATTTTTTTGCTTACATTTGTAATTTTTTCAAATACCATTATCAATTTTTTGTCTCGTGTTTTTAAGGTTTTTGTTTGTAACATTAGCAGTCTTTACTTTTAATTTAATTGGTGATGTACATAACATTTCCAAATGCCATTATCAAAATTTGTTACGTCGTTATCAATTTTTTTTATCGCGCTATTAATTTTTACTTGTGTAAGGTTATTTGTAATTTTTTTTGCAAACGTTAGTAACTTTGTCGAATCATTATCAATTTTTGTCATATGCTTCTTAGGTATTAATTTGTAATTTTTGGTGAAGTTAGTAACATTACCAAATGTCTTTATTAAAATTTGTTTATGTCATTATCAATATTTTTTTTTACCAATGCTCAATGAATAACGTTTTATTATGGGTTATTATAGATCATTATCAACGGCTCAGCTCGACGACCACTTGCGACGATGGCTTTGTGTGACGACGGCTTGATAGGGTGGGGCTGGTGGAAGGGAGCGGAGGTGAAAGACCGGCGAAGATGACGATAGAAAGAGAGGGGTGTAGCGGTTTTGAGGAAATGGGTTAGGGTTTTAATTTCCATTTTCCATAGGAAATAGGTTGTGTTTTATGATCACTTAGAACGATAATGTAAAACGATATCAATCAATCGTAAAATTAATAATGTCATTAGAAGTCATTGTAAGAGATCGTGATTTGCTAGTTATGAGCATGACGTGGAAATTTGAATTGTTAACAAATATGTTGAAAATCAATGATAATAATTTTTTAATCATTAATAATGATGTGGTACAATGTTAATAATTTCATCATACACATTGGCGACGAAAATGTAAATAAGTCACAATTTATCCAAATTGTCAACAATGTAATTATAAGCTTATTGAAATTGTTAATAATAATAGTTATATTATTAATTATATATTTCATAAACATTAATAATACCAGTAAAAATATTAATAATGCTATTGCAAGTCGCTATAGAGAGGGAGAGTAGATATTTTTATTTTAAAATTTCATTTTAAAATATTAAATATTAATTTCGGATTTTTATTATTTTATTTTAATTTGTGTATTAATTAGGTACAGAATTTAAGAGGGGAAGCTGGTTTTCCTTTTTTAAGTATTGAATTTAATGTCAATGTTTTTTTATTCTTTTCGTGCCCTTTTGGGTAGTTAATCAATCATTGATATTGCTTACCTCTCTCCTTCTCCTATTGGTTAGAATATATTTAAGATCCTCCTTAAGAAATGGGGCTTAAGGACTGGATCTAACCCGGGCCTGGATATCTGAAGACTAGAGGGGTCCGGATATTTGACAAGTTTTTAAAATTAACTACCATTTCAAGAGAGTGTTGACTTAACCATTTAAGACTTGAGTTCGGGAAATACCGTCGCCGCCTTTTCTGTATTTGCATTTAACTTTTTTTTATTAATAACTCAGTAGCATCCCCACGCACACACCACAGCGGGCCTCGGTAGGGGGTTAAATACAAGATCTGTCATTTTTCGAAATGAGCGCTCACTAAAAGTTTCACCACTTGACTATGTGACCTTTGGTCTTTTCATCCTACTATTAAGGTTGGAGGAAGTGTGTTCCATTTAGGGCTGGAAGTTTGGTACCGGTATTTTGGATATACCAAATATCCTACCGAATTTGTCTATATTTTGTATTACCGAATACAAGTATTATTTTGTGGGATTGGGATTGAATTTCAATTGTTATTCGGTATTAGGGATTACATGATTGGGATCAGGATATACCGAAATTTAAGCTAGTGCGTAATTTATCCTTTGAACTAGACTCTCACATTCACTACTAGGCGACCCTCAACTACCAAGAGTGTCATTTAATTATACATAGATCATTCCATCACTATTTCACACTAGTATTAGTCGTCTGTCAACCTCAAATTCGTCAAATTAAAGATTACCAATTACAAGAACTTGAGATATTAGCTCTAGGCAACTCAAGACTCTTTGCTTAGTCTTTTTGCCCTAAATTAAACAATAAAATCTAATTTATATATTTAATTATTAATTACAAAGGTAATTAATTTTGTATTTGATAATACCGATTGGGATACCAAAATATTTAGGGATTGAGATCGGGATTGATTTTAGCGTGTAATTCGGTATTCGGGATTTCGGTATTTGGTATTGGGATACCGTACCGTATCGATTTCCACCGCTAGTTCCATTGCAATCAAGTAGGGGTGTGCAACGGTTCGATCCGGTCCGGACCGGATCAAACTCATGAGTCATGAGAATCGCAATTTATTAGTGAAAGACATCTTAGGACAAAGGACCGAACCATCATTGCATTCGGTCCATTTGGTCCGATCCTGTACGTTCCAAATATAAGCTCGGTCCATCATTTATTCAATAATTGTCAAATTCATTTGGACCAAGCACCAATCCGATATAGTTCGATCCAAACTTCGATTTGATCCGGTCCTAGACCGGACCATTGCAACCCCTACTAGCAAGTGATGCCATTGAGAAAAATGCACAGCGAAAGGGCAAATTCTGTTAAGTAAAAATGGAACGAGCGAAGAGTCGATCTAAAACCCTAGGAAAAACCCAGCTGCCTTGCCCAAGTTAAAAGTTAAAACACACTTCCACTGACGCCCTCTCCAACCACGGAACACCGAAGAAACCATGGCCGCCTCTTCCCTCCCCCTCCGCCACCTCCGTCACCTCTCCACCACCGCCGCTGCTGCTGCTGACGCCGCCACAACAGCTGCTGCTGCGGCCGCTGATTCCTCAATCTCCATCTCCAAGGCGAAATCCAAGCTCCGATACGAACACGACCCGGACAAAGCCCTGGAAATCTACTCCTCCGTCTCCGATCGCTACTCCTCCCCCGTCTCCTCTCGCTACGCCCAGGACCTGACCGTCCGCCGCCTCGCCAAGGCCCGCCGCTTCTCCGACATCGAGTCCCTCATCGAGGCCCACAAGTCCGACCCTAAGATCAAGCAGGAGCCTTTCCTCGCCACGCTGATCCGATCCTATGGCCTCGCCGGAATGTTCGACAACGCTCTCTCAACCTACAACCAGATGGACAAATTAGGTACCCGTCGTTCCTCAATCTCTTTCAACGCCTTGCTGTCTGCTTGCAATCAGTCGAAACGTTTCGATCAGGTCCCAATCTTGTTCTCCGATATCCCGTCCAAATACGGCGTTCGGCCTGATAAGATTTCATACGGTATCTTGGTCAAGTCTTACTGTGAGTCCGGGAAGCCTGAGAAGGGTTTGGAGATACTGAGAGAAATGGAAGATAAAGGAGTGGAAGTGACTGCTATCACGTTCACCACCATTCTGAATTGGTTGTACAAGAAAGGGAATAGCGAAGAGGCCGAGAGGCTGAGGAATCGAATGGCGAGAAGGGGCTGTGAAGTTGATGTTGCTGCTTATAACGTTAGAATCATGAATGCACATGATAAGGAGCCCGAGAAAGTTAAGGAATTGATCGAAGAGATGGGGACTTCAGGGTTGAAACCGGATACGATCAGCTACAACTACTTGATGACTTGTTACTGCAAGAATGGGATGTTGGAGGAAGCTCAGGATGTGTACAAGAGGTTGGAGGAATTCGGCTGCAAGCCCAATGCCACCACTTTCAGGAGTTTGGTTTACTACTTGTGTCTGAACGAGAGGTTCGAGGCAGGGTACAGAGTGTTCAAGACTAGCGTGGGGCACAACAAGATCCCGGATTTTAATACATTGAAGCATTTGGCAGAAGGGTTGGTGAAGAAGAAGAAGATTAAATCTGCGAAAGGGTTGATTCGCACGGTCAGGAAGAAGTTCCCACCTAATGTGTTGAACGCTTGGAGGAAAGTGGAGGAAAATCTTGGCCTGGCATCTGTTGCTGGTGAGGATGATGGTGATAATGAAGAGGAAGATGAAAATGAAAATGAGAATCGAGAAGCTGCAGCTCAATGATAAATGAAGATGTGGTTGTAAGATTTTTGCTCTACTGCCAGTCAGTTTACTGTATCTCATAAAGTTGCTGCCATGATTGCTTCAGTTTGGCTTTGTAGTTTAGTTCTAGGAAGATGTAACGCGCTTAGCTACCTTAGAGCTAAACTGGGGTTGAGAAGTTAAATTTTGAGCTTTAGGCATACACAACTTTGGTTTGATTGGTTTATTTGTCTGATGCTGCCGATGCTATCAACATGGGACATGAAGTTATGCTTTCAGTTGGGATCCGATTTTCTATGTATGTTCAAATTAATTTTGTAGTTTCAGGTAAAGACAGGTTCTTTTCACCTGAATATACGTATTGAAGCTTGGAAAGTTTTGCTGGAGAGTGCACTTTTAGGTTCTGGTTGCATGTGTGGAAGAGAGACAGAGAGAGCACAACAGAGTCATGGAGATTCAGAGAACATTACTCCTTCCTGAAAAGGCTATGGTTCAGGTCGTGTTCATCTTTATCGGAAAGAAAGGCTCTTTGTGTCAGTGTCGGAAGTGGACACAGCCTTAGCAAAACTGGCGTGTCTGGAATGTGACGATGAACACAGCCAGTGCTTAGGGCATGTTGTTCCGGGGGTACTCGCCTCTCTTGTTAGCACGAGCTGATGGCCAACGCAGCCTAGACAACGAGCCTGGGTCCAGGGCACGCTATTCTCAATAACTGATTTTCTGGATTTCTGCATTTGTGTTTGGTAAACTATAGAGAAACCGGTGAGCACGGATCGTATTGACCCTGTGTTCAACGCTTCTGTTCTCGTTTCAGCTTCGGTTTCTTCGTGCACTTGTGGGGTGGAACGTATGAGTTTTTGTCAGCTTTTGTTTCGTAGTTCGTAGAACTGACTTTCGACGGATGGCGAGCTCTTCAGTTGATCAGCTGTTTCTTCCTTTCTGCTAAACACGATCAGATAGGCAAGGAGTGAATCATGAAGGTTCAAGGGGAGGTAATGGATAACTCAAGACGAACAGAACAATAGTTATCCAACTCTTCACCCTTTCGCTCTAGGTGGAATATATAGGTCTTGTCATATGCTATAAGTAAATGCCAAAAAAGTATGGGGGGAGGGAGGGAGGTAGCGCATGCAAATGGGTTGATTGCAACTCACCTTTTTGTTACAGGTGCTCTTCACAGGTGGAAACACCGATTCACATTCTTCGGGATTGTCCCCCGGCAGCCTTCCTTTGGACTCGCACAGTCCCAGGTGAACGGCAGCACGAGTTTTTCAGTCTGCAGTTGGAGCCCTGGATTGCTGCTAATCTGCTGATGGAAGAAGAAAAAATGGTGGATGATATCCCTTGGAACTCCTTTTTCAGCGTAGCTGTTTGGAACTTATGGAAGAACAGGAACGAAGGGGTCTTTAAAGGGATTAATAAGACGCTCTCTCCGCCATCCTTGACCCAGGCCATAAAGATCAAAGCAAGTCTTTGGCATAAAGCGTGGATGGCTCCGCAAGATTCATTGGGGCGAAGAGTATCACCAACTCAGCGTGTGACGCAAGAGATTAGCTGGCAGCCTCCTCCGTTAGGATGGACTAAGATTAATGTGGATGGTGCGGCCAATGGAGATCAGGGGCCGGCAGGAGCGGGCGGCATCTTGCGGAACACTGAGGGCAGCTGGATTACAGGCTTTGTCTCAAAGCTGGGCGCTTGCTCAGCAGTTCAAGCAGAACTGTGGGGTATCTATCACGGACTTGGGGTGGCTTGGCAAAGTGGTGGCAGAACTATCATAGTGGAGTCCGACTCCAAACTGGCTCTCCAGCTTATTGAGAAGAGGGCGGATCCTCTACATCCTCACGCGACCCTCCTTGCAGCGATAAGACGACGACTTGCTCAAGACTGGGTGGTTAGGTTAGTCCATACTTATCGGGAAGGGAATAGAGTCGCGGACTGGCTCTCGAAGCACAGTCTCGTCTATCCCTACGGTATGCATGAGCTAACCTCACCACCCCAAGGACTTCAACCTCTCATTGGCGACGATCGTAGGAGACAAACTTTCACCAGGAATGTTGTTGTGACTCCTGAAACCCCTTTTTCCTCTTAATCCTTCCTCTCCCTTCCCTGCTGTTTCTTTTTCTTCGGCTATTATTAGCCTCCAATGTTGCAAAAAAAAAAAAAAACTTCTGGGCCAAACCAACTCCTTTGTTGTCATTTTTTCATCAGTACTACTGGTCTGCTGGACCAACACTTGAATGTGCCACTGACCCTCTTGATAGCTACTCTATAAGTTCATAACAAATAAAAACGAGCGTTTCTTGTTTTCCATATTTAGGTCCACTTTTGAAATCGACCGTAATGTATAATTATGCCACTTTGAAACGCTTTGAGTAAAATAAATTTGGGCGATCGTCGACAGACTTTTTTTTTTTTTTTTTTTGACAGACTTATATAGGCGAATCGCTGGCTCTCATCTCATGGATGGCTACGTAAAATCTCTCTTTGGGCCTTGCTGGCTTGCCTATATTGGACCATTTCCGTCGGCCTTGTGATTTGTTTACTTTGGGCCTTTCTTCGGTTTGCTGACCTATAGTATTTTATCGCCGACCAGTGGGACTAGATACTATAACAACACTCTTTTTGTTGTTATTGTAACAACACTAGTCTCCAACCAATGGGAAGTTAGGGTTGTGATAACTTTTTATTAGTTGAGTTGACCTAGTGTAAAATCAAAGCAGGGGTATAATTGTCATTATGAAAAAATAAAAATAAATAAAAAAACATTTTTTATTTTCTGCCCAAAATTTTGGTCTCCGGAATTCGTCCACCGGTCGCTGGTCACCGGAATATGCTTTTTGTCGCCGGATATGCTATTTGTCGCCGGAATATGCTTACTGGCATCGAAATCTAGTCATCGGAGCCGGAATATGCCTATCGGCGTCGGAATCTGCTCACTGACGGTCACCGGAGTTCGGTCAACGAACTTCGTTGACCGGTCAACGGTCTTCATTGACCGGTCAACGATCACCGGATGTTATGGTCTACATTGTGAGATTTATGGTTTGGTTTCTCATATTTTTGTACGCCTTTTGTGGTTTGTTTTATCGTGTTTGTGGTTTGCATTGAGAAGTTTCTGGTTTGTTTTATCGTGTTTGTGGTTTGCATTGTGAGGTTTCTGGTTTGTTTTAATATATTTGTGGTTTGTATTAGAAGGTTTCTGGTTTGCTTTTGTGGTTTGTTTTACCGTGCTTGTGGTTTGCATTAGGAGGTTTCTGGTGTGCTTTCGCAAATGTTGTGGTTTGCTTTGTGGGGTTTGTGGTTTGTTTTAGAGGATTTGTGGTCTCCATTAAGAGGTTTCTGGTTTGCTTTTTTATGGTTTTTTATCACGTGTGTGGTCTGCATTAGGAGGTTTCTGGTGTGTTTTCGCAAATGTTGTGGTTTGCTTTGTAAGGCTTGTGGTTTGTTTTAGGGAATTTGTGGTATGCATTAGAAGGTTTTTGGTTTGCTTTTTTGTAGTTTTTTATCACGTTTGTGGTATGCATTAGGAGGTTTCTAGTGTGTTTAAGACTAGTGATCTGCATACCAATAACTCCTAAATGCATACGATAAACACAACAATACACTAAAATACATTAAAAACACAATCAATTCAACCTTCAATTCGACCTGGTGTCCTACGACTATATCATTCAAATGGGAAGTCTTCATTGGTTAATTCATCCAAGAGTTATAGTCATTTACCTTACGGAAATTCTGAATTTGGGAAGGAAAATTAATGACCTTAGGGTTACGTTGTTGGGGCTTGTCCAATTTTCGTTTCTTCGAGCCGTCAACTACGCTCCCCGCAGCCTGAGTCTCCATCGCCGACGGCGCCGACGACTCGGCCGCCGTAGGCGGGCAGCTAGATGTCCTAGAAATCCCATACACATGATTCCCAACCGGGGCAAAATCAGGCCAGCCGTTCGCGAAGAAACCCGGGTCGGGTTTCAATTGGATGGAGGAAGAAGGGGTCCGGCTCATCTCCACCACTTCCCCTAACCCGCCGTCACCACCGTCGCCGTGAAACCCGTTCAAAACGCAGTCCATATAATCGTCTCCTAAGGAGCCCACTTCTTGCTGCTGCTGATGGAAATTGTACTGTAATCGTTGTTGTTGTTCCGCGTCGTGATAGTAGGGATGATGATGCCATTTCGCCGCCGCCGGGTCAGCAGCGCGGCGGAGTCGGCGTAGTGGAAATCGGGCGGTGGAGCAGCTAGGAATGAGGCTCGATCCATGGGGTTTTTTTTTTATCGAATTCCGATTGTTTTTGAGTGGGTTGTGAAGAGGAGGAAGCGGAGGTAAAATCTGGAGGGAAGATTGGGAAGTCTATATATGGCCGGCGAAGGAACGGAGAGAGCAGAGAGAAGTGGTGTAGGTGGGGGCAGAGGAGCAATGGGGAGAGGGACTGGGTATCCATAGGGGTGGGCAACGAGAAACGGGTATTTGGGTATACCCGTACCCGTCCCGTTTTTTAAGGGTTACGGGTACTCATATTACCCGTAATATTTTAAACGGATGGGACTTGGGATTGTATACTCCTAATATGGGTACCCGCGGGTTACCCGCGAATACCCATTTGGGTAATATGGGTACCCGTTGTACCCTTTCAAATTACAAAGACATATAATTCATCTTCTCTTGGAGCAAGTAATATGGGCGTCAGACTAACTGTAGAACCTGTAACAGTAAAAAAAACCCTTACATTCAGCATCCACCAAAAACAACCACCAACAAAAGGGGTAAGCTTAAAGTAAATATTACCTGGCACAACAAGGCGACTGTAGTTCCGGACATGTCCTAGTCCTCTTGGAGCAAGTAAAACCTGTTAACACGGTTGCAAATCATACTTGTCTTACTTTTCCAACACAAAAGGATATGAATTCATTCAGAACTGGGGAGCAGCACCAACCGCAATCTCATGATTCAATTACAATTCGGTAACTTCTAACCCCATTCCCTCACAGGGCATATTCAGTTATTCGGTAACTTCTAACCCCATTCCCTCACAGACGCAACACGTACGTTCAACGGCTGAGTTCTGTGTAACTTTTTTTACTATTTCCCCTTCCTTGATTCCTTTTCATCTTCATCATCATCCCTTCTTTGGGTTGTAGGAATTGGTGTAAGTTGCTACTTGTGCAACCATTTTGTGTTTTGAAATGAATGCTTTGGATGTAATTGACTAATTGTCTTTAGGTAAAATATGATTTAAACTTTGGGTATTTATGGGTAATATGGGTACCCGTTATCCGTCCCGTACGGGTAATGGGTACCCGTTTCCCATATGGGTTTGGGATATGGGATGGACTTTGGTCTCCAAATGGGACTGGGTACCCGTTTAAAACGGGACGGGTATCCCGTCCCGTCCCGTTGCCCACCCCTAGGTATCCACAACCAGAGGCCAGAGGAGAGGAGAGGAGAGGAGAGGAGAGGAGGGGAGTGGGGCCCGCTGACATGACCGCCACGTGGGACTGTCCTGAAGCTCGAAAAAACGGCGTTGGCAGCGACGCTGACCTTCACTTCCGATGGTCCCGTGCTGCCTCCGCCGACTGAGATGCAGGAGGAAGGTGCTGCGGTGGCGGAGATGAGGTCTGCTACGGGATTAAAGCGACCTTGAATTTTAATCAAATTTATTTTACTATTTTCAGTATAAGTTTACCCTTTTACCCTTAATGAATCATGTTGTTATTATAACAACACAAAGGGTGTTGTTATTCTATCCGGGCCCCTGACGAGTTCATCGCGACTCCTTGCCGGCAAGCCATCACTTTATATCTACCAGGGAGGATCGGGTTGTTAAACACCTATGTCTTATCCCATTCTTATTAGATTAACTCAAGATTCACTCGGTAAGGCCGAGGAATAGCAACAGTCAAGAAACAAAACAATCTGATTCACCAGATGAAGGAAGATTCTAACAAAAACGAAGAACAAGCAAACTGAAACAGTCGAGCAGAGCTCTAAGCCCAGATTGAGTAGAGTTCCTGGCAACTGCCCCAACTCTACCAATCCAGACACTTTAAACAAGAACCCAATCCAACTCTCCCTAAGAACTAACCAGTTCCTCCTGAGCAGTGGAAACCGTTGCCTGTCTCCTTCTTTCCGATGTCCTTAAGTAGGCTTCTGAGGCGAGCTCTCGATCTCTCTCTTCTTGAATGATTTTACCATTTGATAGGGATTTTGACTGGCTTGATTGAAGAAGCCTTGGTGCTGATGCATTTTCTCGATGCTCTGGTGATTAGGTATAATGGAATGAAGGAGAAGACGCTCTCGGTGATCTCGACGACAGGCTAGAAGAGTGGGCTTTGAGTGAAGTGGCATTTTGGTCGAATCCGTCAGGAAGACGATGGGCCAGGGCCCAACAATCTCCCCCTGCGTTCAAGCCTTCATTCCTGTCAAAGAACATAGTACTATCAAAGTATCGAGTGTGGAGTTTTCTCAGATCATATGCAGGGAGCTTTATAACATTTCATAACAAAACATGTAAACTAGCTTTAGTCTTGATGAGGCAAATAGGCACAATCATCAATTCATAACCTTTTTGATCATTTATTCTGGATTCATCGAACCATAACAAGAATGTAAACTAGCTTTAGTCATGATGAGGCAATATAGACACAATCATCAAACCATAGCTTTTTGATCATTTATTCTGGACTCATCGAACACTTAGCTTCGACCTTTATGGTCTTTTAAAGAAAATCACACATAGACCATTATGGTCTTTAGAGCAGATTAGGATAGAGAAACATAGAGCTGCCAAAATAGAAGGACACAAAGTGGATTAGACTTTTTCTTATTTTTATGATCTTCTTCTCAATATCAATCTTCTGGCACAGAATTTTGTTTTGGCTTCTCCAAAGATTCAGTTACACCTTCCATCTCATCCTCCCCCTGAGTTCCAGCCACTCCTTCCATCATGTCCCTCTCAAGCTCCTCAGCAAACAGTCTGACATCCTTTTCAGATACTGTTTTTGGTTCCAGTTCAGCTTCATCTTCTTCGAACGAGATAATCAGGTTTTTGCGAACTGAAGAAGATGAGTCTCCAAGTTTCAGTGATCTAGACTTATTCTTGATGAGTCTGACAGCTGCTGGATCAAGAGATTCTCCCCCTTTCGAAGGTTGAGGCTCAACACCGATATAGTTTAGGACAGTGAGGGCCGAGACAGAGACAGAAGTCTCGATAGAGGAGTATCCATCGAGTGATAAACCGAGATTGGATAGCAACAGGGTGATGAAGCCTCCATATGGAAGGCGACCATCGAGATGAGCATCAGCACTTCGAATAATGCAGCCAAAAAGAAGTTGGGAATAGTCGATTTTGCGTCCAGTTAGAGCATTGGAAAGAACCCAGAGGTCGAGTTTGGTAACAATGTGAAACCCTTGAGAGCGAGGTAGAAAAAAATGAGTGATAAAGTAGTGGAGGGTGCGAAGAGAGGGGTTCAGATCTGCAGAGGTGATGATTTCATTTGCCCCTACTTTACGCTGAGTGATGCGAGAGTATTCAATCTCATGATCAAAGTCATAGAAGAGGAATTCATCCTCATGAGCCAGAGGCAAAGGACCTCCAGTAGGAAGATTAAGCAGAATGCCAATAGCCTCAGCAGTGAGAGAGATAAAGTAACCATTCACCAGGGTAGTTAGTTTTCTGGTGGTAATTCCTTGACAGTCAAGGTTTGCATAGAATGTTTTGACAGGAAGAGGACAAGCAGCAAGTGGAGGATAATGGAGGAGAAATTCCCAACTCAGGTTCTTAATGAAGGGTGTAATGTCAATTCCTAAGGCTTTGAACTCATAGAGATCAAGGGAGATGGGATCAGAAAGCCTTCGGGAAGCAAAGAATTCTTTGAATATATGGAGATTGAAATCGATGGGCTCATTGAACGTTCTCCCCACATAGGTGACAATTGCACCAGGAATGGTGTAGGAGGTGAACGGTTCAGTCATGATGTTTTATGAGATTGGCAGAGAGTGAAGTGATCGGAGAATATAAGAAGGGGGGGGGGGGTATATATATATACACTAGGGATGAAGAATACTAAGAGTTATCACGATTATTTAAGAAGACTGCCAACAACAGCAGTCAATGATTTAGCCTATTTTAATGCATGGGGAAATCAAACACTACGTTCATGAACATTCAATCAATCAGAATAGAAAATCTAACATAAATGAAATATTTATTGAATTTAGATAGGGAATTAGGAAGTGCATAACCTGATTTATTGCCCGTTCTGGATTGTGTGTGAAGGGACTGCAGTCCACGTTGATCACACAGTCGAATGAATCTTTCAGATGACAAAGCTTTAGTAAAAATGTCAGCTATTTGAAATTCTGTAGAAATGAAGTTTAGTTCCACGAGACCAGCCTGAATTATATCCCTTATGAAATGATGTTTAACTTCAATGTGTTTGGTCCTGCTGTGATGGACAGGGTTTTTTGAAATGCAAATAGTACTGGTGTTGTCACAAAATACAGAGATTTTATCAAAATTAAGACCATAATCCGTTAATTGAGATTTTAACCACAGAATTTGAGTGCAACAACTGCCAGCAGCAATATATTCTGCTTTTGCAGTTGACAGAGCAACAGACCCTTGTTTTTTACTTGACCAAGACACTAAAGACCCTCCAAAAAATTGGCAAGTACCACTGGTACTTTTTCTGTCAGTGATGTTGCCAGCAAAGTCAGAGTCAGAGTAACCAATTAGAGACAATCCCTCAGATTTTGGATACCATAATCCAAGATCATGAGTGCCTTTAAGATATCAAAAAATTCTTTTCACAGCCACCAGGTGACTTTCTTTAGGTTGGCTCTGAAATCTTGCACATAACCAAACACTGAACTAAATGTTAGGTCTGCTAGCAGTTAGGTAAAGCAGGGAACCTATCATTCCTCTATATCTCTTTTCACATACAGGGTTTCCATCAATATCATGATCCAGATGAGTGTTTGATGCAATTGGAGTTTTACAAGGTTTGACATTCATTAGGTCGAATTTGGTTAACATAGACTGGAGGTACTTGGTTTGATGAATGAAAATTCCT